TTGTATTTTTAGTAGAGACAGGGTTTCACCATGTTGGCCAGGCTGGTCTCGAACTCCTGACCTCAGGTGATCCACCTGCCTTGGCCTCCCAAAGTACTGGGATTACATGCATGCGCCATCATGTCTGGCTTGGGAATGAGGTTTTGAAGCTCCAACTGCTGGGGCTTCCTCAGGTTTCTGTGGGGCCATGCAGACTGTCTTGTTTCAAGTCTGTCCCCTAACTGGGGAGAGGGGGGATATGAACAGAACAAGTTAAAATACCACACAGCTTGCCATTCTCAGCTTCAGCCACTTTTCTTCTTTCTTTTTGTTTTTTGGTAGAAACGGGGTCTTGCTATGTTGCCCAGGCTGGTCTCCAACTCCTGGTCTCAAGAGAACCTTCCACCTCAGTCTCTGAAAGGGCTGGGATTCCAGGTCTGAGCTGCTGTGCCTGGCCCTCCATTTTTCTTGAATAAATGCTCATGGGTATTTATGAGCTTTTAGTTAATTTCCAGACTTCTGAAAAAGTTGAGACTGATGTTTTTGTCAGGTTTCTCATGTCGCATAGCAAATGGTGAATTTCCAATGTGTTATTTGTGCAGATGTCACAGCTCATCTGAGGGTATTTATGAGACGTAAGATGTCTTAAATGTCTGTCTTTATATGTGGCTAACAGTTTGGTTGGGTCTAGAATTCTTTATTTTTTGAGATGGAGTCTTGCTCTGTTGCCCAGGCTGGAGTGCTGTGGCACAGTCCTGGTTCATGGCAACCTCCACCTCCCGGGTTCGATTCTCCTGCCCTCAGCCTCCCAAGTAGCTGGGACTACAGGCGCCCACCACACCTGGCTAATTTTTGTGTTTTTAGTAGAGACGGGGTTTCACCATGTTGTCCAGGCTGGTCTTGAACCTCTGACCTCCAGTGATCTGCCTGCCTCAGCCTCCCAAAGTGCTGGGATTACAGATGTAAGCCACCATGCTTGGCCTAGAATTCTACATTGAACATTATTTTCCTGCTGAATTTTGTCTACTGTTTTGGGGTGTCATATATGAAAAGAGGTCACTGTTGTGATGGTGCTGGTGGGACTGCCGCCTCTGGTGCGTTGGCTTGAGTTGGGCCTGAAATATGGGCCTCCAGGCTGAGGGAGCCTCTGTGCAGTAAAGGGTCGACTCATCAGCTTGGGGAAGGCAGCATCTCTGTATCTTGAAGAAAAAAGAATAAGACCTCGACCAGTTTTTGGAAGATGAGCTGTGTGCTTTGGTAGTATTCTGCCTGGTAACAGTGTCTTTGAATTCCTGAAGCCTTAGGCCATGCCAGTTTGCTGACAAGGTGATGTATGGTAGAGACCTTCGATCTGCCTGTATCAGTTTGACCTCTAGAGGGGGCAGGAGACTTCGCACCTAATGTCAGCCACTCAAGTACTCCATACGTACAAGACCAACCCCCCAGAACTCCTCTGAACATGAGGGCTTGGTGGAGGTCCCTTACAGGCAGTGTCCTGTACATGTGTCACACACTGTGGCTGGGAGAATACAGCACTGTCTGTATGACTGCACTGGAAGACAACAGTGGGAATTCTGTGCTGTGTGTGCTGGACTCTGTCCTGGGCACCACTGATCTCTGCTGACTTTTATCTGTATCTTTTCAGTGTAATAAACCATGACAATGAGTATAACAGCATTTCTGAATTCCGTTGAGTTCTTATAGCAAATCACTGAACTGAGAGGGGCAGATCTTGGGGACTCCCGACACAGCTGGCTTCAGAAGTGTGATTCACTAGAATTACCCTCTCTGAAACTTGGTGCAAGCTTAACTTGGAAAAAGGAAGGTAAAGGAGGTGGCTGATGGAGCTTTATTCCTGCATAGTTACTGTGTCACTTATGGCATGACACAGTAGCTGCACTGTGATCAGTTATGAGAGGTAAAGTTAGTTACAGAATTTAGAAATGATGGAACCAACTCCCAAGGAGCTGGCACAGTGGATGTGTAAGGAAATGTAAAATAACAAGAAACAAGCTAAATATACAATCCCTTGGTTATTGTTGTGTGCCATTGGCTACATTGAAGTAAAGGATAGGCTGGATGTGGTGGCTCACACCTGTAATCCCAGCACTTTAGGCCAAGGCAAGAGGATCGCTTGAGTCCAAGAGTTTGAGACTAGCCTGGGCAACATGGCAAGACCCTGTCACTACAAATAATTTAGAAATTAGCCGTGTGCGGTGACGCAGGTCCAAGCTACTTAGGAGCCTGAGGTGGGGGAATTCTTGAACCCAGGCAGTTGAGGCTGCAGTGAGCTGTGATCGCACACTGCACTCCAGTCTGGGCCACAGAAGGAGACCCTGTAACGGGGAAAAAAAAAAAAAGAAAAAAGAAAGGGGGCAAAGCATTCATCCCACTCCTCACCCCCACGGGAACACCAAATTTTAACAACTATCTGCACTCAGAAAAGCACCATCACAAGATCCAAAAATCAGCTGAGCCATCACAGTACCTGGTTTTAACTTCATATCACAAGAAGACGCACTGATGAGGGTGGGAGAGACAGTCCTAAATCGCTGACACCACCCTGCTCCCTCACCTGCTGGCAGAGGCCATGCAGCACTGAGTCTGTGCACTTGTGGAAGGGAGAGAGCAGTGACTGGGGTGCATGACACTGGACTCAGGGCTGCCCTGTCACAGCAGAGAGCAAAGTCATGCTGGGCTCAGTCAGCACCCACACCAGAAGGGAGCATTTGGGCCAGCCCTAGCCAGAGGGGAATCGCCCATTCCAGTGGCCAGAACTTGAGTTTCTGGGCAAGCCTCGCTACCACGGGTCAAAGTACTCAGGGATCCTAGGTAAACTTGCAAGACAGTCTAGGACACAAGGACTGTGGTTCCTCAGCAATTCCTAGTGCTGGGCTCGGCTCAGAGCCAGAGGACTGGGGTGGCACATGACCCAGGGAGCCAGGAGCCAGGAGCCAGGGTGGCTCAGAGAGTGCTTGCCACCCCTCCCCCAACCCCGGGGTGCAGAGCTGGCAAAACAATGAAGGTAACTCATTTCTTCTGCTCAAGGAGAGAAGAGTGACGAGTAATGAGGACTTGGTCTTGCATCTTGGATACCAGTTCAGCCACAGTAGAAGAGGATGCTGGGTAGAGGAGTGAGGTGCCCAGTCCAGGCCCTAGCTCACCAGCATTCTAGACACACCCTGGGGCAGAAGAGAACCCACTGTCTTGGAGACAAGGACCCAGCCCTGGCAGGATTCATCACCCGTGGGCCCTGAATCACCGGCAGCAATACCCAGGGAGTACACCATGGGCCTCGGGCTCTGAGACATGCTGACTTCAGGTGTGAGCTGGCACACTCCCAGCTCTGGTGGCGAAAGTGAAAAAGGGAAGCAGAGGGAAGAGTAAAGGGGACTTCGTCTTGCACCCTAGGCACCAGCCTGGCCACAGTGGGGCAGAGCACGAAGGAGGCTCTTGGGGTCCCTGAGTCCAGGCCTAGGCTCTTGGACAGCATTTCTAGACCTGCCCTGGGCCAGAGGGAAGGCCATTTCCCTGCAGGGTGAGTCCCAGGGCTGGCAGCATTGACGACAAGCTCACTGAGGAGCCCTTGGGCTTTAGTGAACATCAGCTGTGGTCTGCCAGAACCCCCCACCATGGGCTGGCGGGGGTGGGGGCCACTGGAAGAGAATCCCCATCTGTGGCAAGTGGAGGGAAGAGCAGGAAGCACTTTGTATTGTATTTTCCATTGCTTACCTGCAATGGAATAGAAGAAGAGGCAAATTGCTAAGGTTTTTGACAATAATCTCCGGCTCCCACACAACATTTCTGGACCCACCTAGGGACTGGGGGAACTCATCACCCTGAGGGAAGGACACAAACCGGGATGGCTTCACTACCTGCAGGTCGCAGAGCCCTAGGGCCTTGAGTGAACATAGGTGGTAGCCAGGTAGTGGTTACAGCAGACCTTGGGTGAGACCCAGTGCTATGCTGGCTTCAAGTGTGACCAGTGCAGTCCCAGTGGTGGTGGCCACAGAGGTGCCTGTATCACCACACCCCCAGCTCCAGGTGGCTCAGCACAGAGAGAGAGAGACTCCATTTGTTTGGGAAAAAGTAAAGAAAGAGAACAA